CTCCCTGAGCCGCGCCAGGAAGTTTTTCTCCCCGGAGTCGATCCTCCAGCTATACAAATCCACAATTCGCCCTTGCATGGAGTATTGCTGCCATATATGGTCTGGTGCCCCTTCTGTTTGCCTCGGGGTTCTTGATAGGCTCCAGAGGCGGATATGCAATGTAGTTGGCCCTGCCCTGGTGTCTCGTCTACAGTCACTTTCTCACAGACGCGCCGTCGCCTCCCTCTGTCTGTTCTACAAATACTTTCATGGAAATTGTTCCGAGGAGCTGCATTCGCTGGTTCCCAGACGTCATGAGTTCCAGCGCCTTACGAGGCTGGCATCCCGCTCTCACCCCGTCACTGTCGAAACTCCTAAATGTAGCCGTCTCTTCTACTCTAAGAGCTTCATGTCTCGCACCTCTCGCCTGTGGAACTCCCTTCCTTATCCCTGTTTCCCTGAGAGCTATAATCTCCAGCTATTCAAGTGTAATGTCAATCGACATCTCCAGTTACCTTGATCTATCCACTGCCCTTCTCCTCATACCCTCTTCTATCACTCCTATCTGATCTTGCTCTATATTTTCTGTAACCCCCTGCATCCTAGTGACTTCACGCCTTGCTTGGGGTGAAATGCTTTAAAAAAAAGAAAAAAAAAAAGATTAAAGTTGGCTGAAAAGCATGGAGCCCGAAGGGAGTTCCACAAGTGAAAAGTGCGAGAAAAGAAACTGTTAGCATAGAATTTACGGCTACTTCTAGCCAACTCGACTGTAAATTGATGAGACCTCGTTGCCAGTCTAGTACTGCGCTTAAATTCACAAAGTCTAGGTACCATACTGAAGAGCAATATTCATTTGAAAAAATTACAAAATGTGGCACGACGACAAAATGGTGAATGGGGAAAAGGACAGTCTTCTTCTCTCTTAAAATTAAACTTATATTCCTAATACCAAAACAACGAATTCTTACTTACCTTTCTCACTACACCCACCATAATACCTCATTGTCTCTATGAAAGTCCTAATATATATAGTCCTTATATGTATTATTCATTGTCTGTGAAGGGAGGGGAATAAAGCAACATTTTTTTAAAAAAAATTTAAACTCCAACTACCATAGTGAAGAACGACATTTATTCCGCTTATTTACAGAAATGTGGCGGTCTTCTTCTGTCTTAAATTTTAATCTAACTGTGTGTGTGTGGGGGATTATAACAACAATTTAAAAAAAAATCTAACTCCCAACTACCAGAGAGAAGAATTCATCTCAATAATAACCATGCAAATATGTACAGAAAAACTTGGAGTTGCAAGTCACTTACAGCGGTGACAAAGAGACTGAAACCGAGATGCCAGAACAGGTCCAAAAATATTACTGATTTTTTGGATTTTTTCAAGGAGATTTAGTTAAATAGCAACAGCGTCGGAACAAACGTGACACCAATATTCTCATCATGGACGAATGGTAGACTTATAGATATGTAAGATAGATTATGGAGACAAAAACTGTAGCTCGACGTAGTGAACCACAGAGGACATCACATCACATCATTTTTGCCAGGAAAATGATGGCATTCATGCAGACCTTCTCGATGTGTGACAGCGTCAATGAAAGTGAATTAACTTAATCCCTTACATGTGATTTGTATTACTAAATTATTTATTTTCAATACTTATTTGGTAGGGGTGACAAGACTTTCGGACTATCTTTATCTATAAAAGGCAGGATGTGTGTGTGTGTGTGTGTGTGTGTGTGTGTGTGTGTGTGTGTAACGAATGCACGGCCGCATTTTTCGACGGATTTGCACCAAAATGTACATGCACATGCTCCAAGTTAGTGGGAAGGCCAAAACCGACTTTGTATTTCCCAACTCCCATCGATAGTGGAAATAATCGATTTTTTCATGTTTCTACGGCAGTTTTCATGTAGTTTGCGGCCATTTTCTACTGGTCAGAGTGAGAGCCTATAGCTGGCTGCCACGAATAGGCAGGAAGATTCTATTGGCCAGCGTGAGAGCCAACAGCTGACTGACACTAATGTTAAATAGCATGCTGACACGCAAAAAAAAAAAAAATCGATAGCTGCATTCGTCACAAGTGGGAAAAATTTAAATCTGCATGGCACTTTACTCCAATTGGCTCATTCGCTTGCTTAAACTCAACGTTGATTCTGATTCCGCAGAACTGGGTTGGGTGTGAAAAAGTATTTGTTGTGTACATTCTTTTTTCATTCGGTTTTTCCAGTTACGAGTCCTTTTTTTAAAGCTGATCGTTTTGTGTTCATTTTGTTTAGTTCTTTTTTCGTAAGAGATTTAATGTTTAGTATAGAGCTTAGAAAAAATTCGTAGTGTGAGATAGGCAAGAAGTAAGGCATGTAGTAACATCAGCAGGGCAAAGGGCATTCCTTTAAATGCAAGGAAGGGCAAAAATATTTTAAGTCAAATGATAGCGATTGCTGTATGTCGTACGATTTTTAAATCAAGCCGGGTAACGCCGGGCCATGCTGCTAGTATAATATAAAAG